GAAGCTCAGAGTGGTGCGAGGTGCACCATGTCCTATGTACAGGTTTGTGGTGATGTCAACACAGTAACTCAGGCTGAACTCAGCCCATGCTGAGCTCTGCACAAACACCTCCTGTAGCATTAATGTATCATCACCATTAATCCCCCTGACAACCCTACAAGGTGAGTGATGTCTGTTTTACAAATAAGAAGATCAAAACTCAGAGGTTAAGTCACTTCGCCAAAGACACACCCTAACAAGTGGCAGTCCAGGCCTCAAATCTAGGCCTGACTGGTTTTCTTGCTGGGTGCTCAGGGGTGACAGAACCAGGCCCCCCTCTGCCCTGCTGGCCCCAGGAGCATGTTCCTCCCTGTCAGACCACCAGGCCTTCTGTTGGGGTTGGTCACATGGTCACCCTCGCTGTGGGGCTGATGCAGGTGGCATGTTCCTGGTGTGTTCACAGGGAAGGTTCTCAGAGAAGATGAGTCACGCAGCACACCATCACTGAGACGCCCCTACAGGCAGGAGACCCAGAAGCCAAGATGACATCACCTCCATCTTCCCTCTCTCCTGCCCAGACTGTTTAAAACTGATCCTGACAGATAAACAGTCACGTAGGAAACGACACGCATATGGGGATGCCTGTTGTGTTGTGTCTGAAAGCAACAACATGAAATCAACCCAGATGCCAAAAGAAGGGCTAAATTTGATGAATGGTGGTCTATCCACGTGGCAGAATGACTCATAGCCATTAAAGTGGTCCTAAGGAATATCTGTATTTATCGCCCTGGAGCAACAGTTACAGTATATCAAGAGATGAAACTGATTATAAAAAATCATGTGTCCTGTAGAATCTCATTTAAATGAACAAAGTATGTATGTGCATAGAAAGTAACTGGAGTTTGGCCGGGCATGGTTACTCATACCTGTAATCCCAGCACTTTGGGAGGTAGAGGCAGGCAGATTACCTGAGGTCATGAGTTCGAGACCAGCCTGGCCAACATGACAAAACCATGTTTCTACTAAAAAAAAAAAAAATTAGCTGGGTATGGTGTCAGGCATTTGTAATCCCAGCTACTCCAGAGGCTGAGGCAGGAGAATTCCTTGAACCTGAGAGGCAGAGGTGACAGTGAGCCGAGATTGTGCTACGGCACTCCAGCCTGACAAAGCGAGACTCTGTTCCCCACCCCGCAAAAAACACCCTGGAATTGTATACACCAAAATGTCAATACATTATTTTGGGTTTATTTGTTTATTCCTTCATTTACCCAACTAACATTTATTGAGTTAACGGCCCATTTATGTGCCAGGAAGCACACTAAGTGCTAGGAACAGAGTAGTAAATACAACCAGGGGATGGGATGATCAGTGATTTTTTTTATCAGACTATTTTTTTGAGCAGTTTTAAGTCCACAGCAAAACTGAGAGGAAGGCACAGAGATTTCGCATATACTACCTGCCCCTACACATGCATAGCCTCCCCTATGATCAACATCTCCCATCAGAGGATACATTGTGACAGCTGATGATCTTACAGAGACGCATCATCATCACCAAAGACCACCATTTACATTAGGGTTCACTCTTGGTGCTGCACATTGCATGGGTTTTGACAAATGTATAATGACATGGATCCAGCGTTAGAGTGTCACGCAGAGTTTCACCGTCCTAAGCATCCTCTGCTGTCTGCTTATTCCTCCCTCCTCCGCTCTTGCCCCTGGAAACCACTGATCTTTTTACTGTCACTAGTTTTGCCTTTTTCAAAATGCCATATAGTTGGAGGCATACGGTATGTAGCCTTTTCAGATTGCTTTCACTTAGTAATATGCATTTCAGTTTCCTCCATATATTTTCATGGCTTGATAGCTCATTTCTTTTTAGTGCTGCATAATATCCCACTGTCTAGATGAGCCACATTCTATTTATTCATTCACCCCCTAAAGGACATCTTAGTTGCCTCCAAGTTTTGGCAATTACGTGCAAAGCTGCTACAAGCAACTGCACGCAGGTTTTCATGTGGACATTTGTTTTCAATCCTTTGGGTAAACACCAAGGAGCACAATTTCTGGGTAGTGTGGTGTATTAGTTCATTTTCGCACTGCTATCAATACCTAAGATTGGGTAATCTGTTAATAAAAAGAAAAAAGGTTTAATTGGCTCACAGTTCTGCAGGCTGTTCAGGAATCATAGCGGCTTCTACTGGGGAGACCTCAGGAAACTTTTACTCACCTTTGCTGGCAAAGGGAGAGCCAGCATTTCACATGGCCAGTGCAAGAGGAAGGGAGGTGCCAAACAGTTTTAAACAATCAGATCTCATGAGAACTCACTATCGTGACAACAGCACCAAAGGGGGATGGTGTTAAACCACAAGAAATTGCCTCCATGATCCAGTCACCTCCCACCTGGCCCCAGCATTGAGGTTACATTTCAACATGAGATTTGGGTAGGGACACAGATCCAAACCATATCATATGGTAAACCCATGTCCAGTTTTGTAAGAAACTGCCACACTGTCTTCCAACATAGCTGTACTATTTTGCATTCTTACCAACTGATATGGTTTGGCTCTGTGTCCCCACCCAAGTCTCCTCTCCAGTTGTAATCCCCACGTGTCAGGGGAGGGAATGGGTGGGAGGTGATTGGATCATGGTGGCAGTTTACCCCACGCTGTTCTCGTGATGATAAGTGAATTCTCACGAGATCTGACGGTTTTAAAGTGTGGCACTTCCTCATTCTCCCACATACCCCCTCCTGCTGCCTTGTGAAAAAGTGCTTGCTTTCCCTTCGCCTTCCACCATGATAGTAAGTTTTCTGAGGCCTCCTAGCCACACTTCTGGTAAACCTGCAGAACTGTGAGTCAATTAAACCTCTTTCCTTTATAATTACCCAGTCTCAGGTGGTCTTCTATTTATTTATTTATTTATCTGAGACAGAGTTTCACTCTGTTGCCGGGGTTAGAGTGCAGTGGCATGATCCTTGCTCACTGCAACTTCCGCCTCCCAGGTTCCAGCAATTCTGCCTCAGCCTCCCAATTAGCTGGGCTTACAGGCACCTGCCATCACGCTCAGCTAATTTTTTGTATTTTTAGTAGAGACGCAGTTTCACTATGTTGGCCAGGCTGATTTAGAACTTCTGACCTCAGGCGATCCACCTGCCTTGGCCTCCCAGTGTGGTGGGATTACAGGTGTGAGCCACTGTGCCCAGCCTCAGGTGGTATTCTTTATAGTGTAAGAACAGACTAATACACCAGCAACAAATGAGAGTTCATTTTGCTCCACACATCCTCTCCAGAATCTGGTGTTGCCAGTGTTTTGGATTTTGGCCATTCTAATAGTGACATCTCATTAGACTTTAGTTTGCAAGTCTCTAATGACTTATGATGTTGAGCACTTTTTATATGCTTATTTGCCATCTGTGTGTCTCCTTTGGTGAGGTATTTGTTCAGGCCTTTTGCCCATTATTGTGTTGTTTCTTTATTAAATGTTAAGAGTTCTTTGTATATTTTGGATAACAGTCCTTTATCAGACATGTCTTTTGCAAATATTTTCTCCCAGCCTGTGGCTTTTCTTCTCATTCTTATAATGATAGGTGATTTTAAATTTCTTCTTCTTGATTATCTCATTTTAATAATTGTTTTGCAATATGTGTGCATCACTTGATTATTGATTATTAATCTCTTTAAAAAGCATTTAAAAGTTGAGCTCAAAGCCCGGAAAGGGAAGCTTTATATGTATGCCATTTAATAATGTTTACATTAACCCTGTGAGGCAAACATATACTACTCTCGTGTGTGTGTGTGTGTGCACGCGCACACACGTATGTATGTGTGGGCACATGTGCATGCATGCACAGTTGCGGAAAACCAGAGTCTAGAGAGGAAAAGTACCTGGCTCAAGGTCACACAGCTCGGAAGGGCCACTGGTAGATTTGAATGTGGCCCTGTCTGACTCTAGAACTTGCAGCACTTGTTTTACACAGGAGGTCACTCGCAGAGGAGACAGGGCTCTGCTGGCCCCTCTGTGGCACAAGCTGCCCCTTCTAGGGCTCTGCGTCCACCACGACCAGCCTGGCATTGTCGTGCCTCTTGCATCTCATCACTTTCTTCTCAGCTCTAACTCCTAGAAATGCTTCCAGATTCTTTGCAGTGACAAGCCCAGCTTCAAATCACTGATGACTGTCTGCAGGATGAAAGGGGAAGCTAGGTGGGGTGGAGGAGAAGCAGACAGGAATGGCCAGCACAAAAAATAGGCCAGGAAGCCCCTCCCCGCCCTGCTTGGGACAGTTCTCCCTGCTATTTCTGTCAACAGCCGGGCTAGACCGGCCTGCAGCAGGCAAACCTGCTCATCACCTTGCTCATGGCCTTGAGCTGAGCTTAATGTGCCTCACCTGAGACCTCAGCTGTGCTAGCCAGATATTGTGACTTAGCAGACAATGTTCTCCTCGCTTGACACCTCTGTAAAGCCCTAGCCCAGGGCCTGGTCCCTAGTAGCCCCTGAATGCATGTCAGATGCACGACACTCGGTGATTGACTGGCCTCACAGATGCTTCCTCACCTCCTTCCATGGGTGCCACGTTATTACGTTGCATCGTTGCTTTCTTGTTGCCACCCTTTCATTCATTCATTGAACAGAAACGTATGGAGCACCTGCTATATGCCAGGCACAATTCTAGGCTCCAAAGGTTCAACGGTGAACAAGAAAGTCCAAAACATTCCTTCTCTCGTGGAACTTAGTTTCCAATGGAAGAAGATAGCCTTTAAGCAGAATAAATTTGTATCTTACATAAAGCCGCATATGAAACCCTAATCAGTGCCACAAAGGAAGAGAAATGGGAGAGAAGAACAGGGCATGAGGTGTGTGGGAGGTTTGCAATTTTAAATAAGTAGTTCCTTTAAATAAGTTTTTTTTTATACTGTTACCCAATAAAGCAGCTTTTAAGCCTTCTTCAAAGTTAATCGTATGTCAGTTTTCTACAAGCAGAATCACCTGACACTTTTTGTTTGTTTTCCCTTTAGGGTTTTTGTCCCTCTCTTAAAGCAAGTGTTCAGAGTCATGAGCAGATGGAAGATACAGGCGGAGGCGTCTTACCTGTCACCGTTGGTATGTCTGGTTGAAACCTGCGACAAGGTATGTTTGGTGTCCTTGGTTGGCTGGGAGGCTGCAGCTGCGGCTTGGAGTTAAACAGGGGGCCTCGGGCCACCAAGGGCAGAGCCATGTGGAAACCCTGTGCCCTGGAGCCTCCTGTCTGCAGTCTCTGTGTCCTCCTGTTGGGTCACCGGCCCTGGGCAGCAGCCTGTGGCACCACAGGGGACTCCTCCCACAGACCCCGCCTGCTCCTCATCATGCACCTTTGCCTCCAGCAACGTTCTGCATGGGCCGTCTTGTTCCTCCACCTGGCAGTGCGGCTGCCGCCTGAGAATTCTGGGCTGTATCCCTTCCCCTACTTGTGCTGCGGCAGCATCTTTGCACAGCCTGGCTTTGCAGCCAAGTCCTCCAACTAGTCATTCTGTTTTTCCCTCTCTGTGACCAGTGCCTGGCTATTAAGCAGTCTCCTACCGCACACCCCCGTCCTGAGCTCACCCCAGCTGTCCCTCCCCAGGCCTCAGCAGAGCCCTCTCCTAAAGCTCCCATGATCCCAGCTCAACACCTCCCAGTGGCTTCCCAGTGCTCAGAGACTCAGGCATCACCCAAGGCGCTCAGTGACAGCAGCGTTGCTGACTCTGCAAGCTCCACACACCACTCAAAGGCCATTCACATAGTAACAAAGGTTGGAGTCCAGTCCCAGACCCTCAAATGCAAACCCCAGCTCTGCTGATTTCTAACCAGGCAGCAGTGGGCAAGGAATTCGGCCTGTCTGTGTCCCCTCATCTTAGAACTTTAACACTGGTGTCCTTTTCCCCTAGGGAAGTGGATGGAATCATTGAGGTAATGTAGGCACAGCACTGGGGGGTGGACCTGCCATGTAAGCACTTGCGACTGTGACTGAAGCACAAAGTGGAAAGGGATTTGGCAGACAGTCAGGGTGGCCAGGTTCTCTGGCGTTGCCACGTCCTGGCTGTGTGTTCTTGGGCCAGTCTCTTGACCTCTCTGAAGTTCAGGTTCTTCTGGAAAGTGGAAATGTGGATCTTGGTGAGTTTTGAGAATCGGAAGAGCAGATGGAGGCTATAAACTGCTCTACAAGTGCTAAAGCATGGTGCAAATGATGCTGTGTGTCTTGAAATATATCAGCTGTAGACAGTATTGATATGTTACATTTAAATTAAAATTAAATCAAATGAGATACTCGGTTTCTTTGTCACATGTCAAGTCCCCATAGCCACATGTGGCCTGTGACCATCACATTGAAAGAGCACATTCAGCACCTACTCATTCATTCACCACACATTCCTAGGGCAGGGAGTCCATCCCAGTGTCAGCCACAGTGCCCTGGGGACACAGAGAGCCACTGTGCTGTCCTAGGACAACATTATGCCGGTCTCTCTCCCCCACCAGTCACCTCCCTTCCCTGTGCCTCAGTCTTCTCTCCCCTGCTGTAAAATGGGCAAAAGGGGGTAAAGTTTGTCAATGATCTCACTCAGCATGGCTCATGAGAGAGAAATCGCACAGTCTTTGGGGTTAGGCTGAGCTAAGTTTGAATCTCGGTTCCTTGCATAAGTCACAAACCGTCTCTGAGCCTTGGTTTCCCCCCTTGGCCTGGCAGGATTGCAGAGAGGATTGCAGGAGGTAGCTTTTGTGGCACCATCAGCACAGCAAACCACCAGTCCTGCATTTAATGCCTGCAGAGTGAGGTGAGGGTTGAATGGAGGCAGGAGGAACATGTGAGGTCCCCACAAAGAAGAGGAGAGAGATTGGGAGGGAGAAGCAGGGGCGGCTCTGCTGCTGCTGGCTGAGCTGCTGCAGGGGTGCACGTGGCAGGTGGCACGTTCCCTCCACCCACTGGGCTCTGCATCTGGCAAGAGGCGGGACACAGCCCGGACAGCTTAGCTCACGTGTTACTGAGTCACCTCTGGGCTTTGAGGGATTCCTGGGAGGGGCATGAGGCGCTGCACGTCTCCATGTGGGAGGGAGATGGGAGGTGGCTTCCAGCCTCAGCACTCCCTTGCCTTCAGCCTTCCCACTGCCCTCCTCTTCTCCAGCCTGGAGCAGTGGCCTTGGGATTGTGCCAGGCACTGACAAGCACCCATGGCCTGGGTAAGCCCCAGCGGGGAAAAGACCCTGGTTTCCCAGGCCCCAGCAAAAGGCCCACTTGGGGTTTAGGAGTTGAATCCAGACCCTGCCCCAGCCCTCCTGGAGCCCAGGTCAGTGGAGGAGACAAGCCTATAATTCTACCCCAAGGTGCATGGATGTTAGGTGCCAGGCCCTGCCACCAGCAACAGTATCCCTGGGTGGGACTCTTTGCTCTCTGAGCCACAGCTTGCAGGTGTGAAAAATGGATGTGAACACCTGCTCCGCCCAGTCTCTTCTGGACCTGAGGACATGTGCTGTACAGATGGCAGGGCCTCCGTGAAGTCAGAAGCTGAGGCTCAGAGGAGGCTGACAACTGCAGCGGGCCAGCCTGGAGCAGGGAGGGCACCAGATTCTCGCTGGGGAGAAGCCTGGCTTTGCCATTCAGAGGATTTGGACGCTGGAGGACTTGGGACCTCATTTAATACCCCCGGCTTAGTTTGCTTCTCCCTCTTAAGCCAAAGTGTGTGCTGAAGGTGAGGGGAGAGGATGGCTGTGAGCAGCAGGGGCTTCCTGGGTGCCCAGGTGATCTGGCTTCCCCCTTACATGGCAGGTGCCTGGGTAATCTATGGAGTCATATGGTTTCGTACCTGGCTACTGTGTGTCTCCCATCTGGACCGTCAGCTGCCTGAGGGCAGGGGCCTTGAGGCCCCATTTGCAGCTGTATCCCCAATTCCTGAGCCCTCAGGAAATGTTTGTTGAATGAATAAAAGGGAGTGAATGGCAAAAGGCATGCCGAGAGTAGGCACAACCTCACCTCGCTGCCCCAGGAGGTCTTGTGTTTCCATAGGGGCAGTAACAAGGGTTGCTGTGAGACCTCAGCTGGGCATCAGATCCCAAGGAGGTGGGTGACAGCAGAAGGTGAGAGCAGGCGAGTGACAGCAGAGGTGAGTGAGGGAGCGGAAGTTTCTAGCAGCCCAAAAGCACTGAAAAAGAGAAGAGACTCATGTTTTCTCCCCAGGAGGCCCCAAAGAGTAACTGTGACGTCAGGTGGGGCGGTGCTGGTGAGGGACCCACCCGTGACTGCAGAGCAGGACACTGGGCCAGCTCAAAGCGTCGGAGCTGAGGAAGGGCATGGTAGACAGGCTTGGGTCTGGCTACATGACTCCGCCTGTGCTCTGCACCTCACCACATGGGCCTTGGTTTCCTCCTCTGTCAAATGAGTGAAGATTGAGATGAATGGATATTATTAGGGCACAGAGAAGACAGCTAATTGGGTTCAAATGGCAGAGTTTTGGTGCCATGAATTATCCCTGTTATTGCTGTTTAATTGAGGAATGACTCACCCAGAGAGAAAAATGCAGTGTGTACATCTTAAGTGGACCTGTGAGAATTTTTTAGATATATACACGTCATGAAGCCACCGCTGAAGTCAAGACAGAGAACGTTCCCCAGCTTCGCAGACTGCTGGTGCCCCTTCCTGGTCAATATACAGCCCTTCTCTGAAAAGCAGCCCCAACCTGTCCTTCCATGAGCTTGTTTTGCCTGATCTTGAACTTCCTACGGAAGGAATCCCACAATGCCTGTGCGTCTTTTGTGTCTTCTGCCTTCTTTTTCACCAGCCCATCTCCCACACCCTCTTTCTTTGGTAAAGGGGCTTTGTTTGCCTTTGGGTCCTGCCCCTCCTTCACACTCAGTCCATCTAGTTTGGGGGACTCTCTATGTCCCCCAGCCCCATCTCCAGAGATGCACATGTGAACCAGCCTGGTGTATGAGCTTCCCACAGCTGCAGTAAAAATTGCCACAAAATTAGCGGCTTACTATACCACCAGTGTATTTTCTTTTCTTTTCTTTTCTTTTCTTTTCTTTTCTTTTCTTTTCTTTTCTTTTTTTTCCAAGACGAGTCTTGCTCTGTCACCCAGGCTGGAGCACAGTGGCATGATCTCAGCTCACTGCAGCCTCCGCCTCCCGGGCTCAAGTGATTCTCCTGTCTCAGCCTCCCGAGTAACTGGGACTACAGGTGTGCCAACAGTGTATTTTCTCACAGCTCCAGACTTCAGAAGTTTGAAATGGGTTTTGCTGGATCAAGAGGTGTCAGCAAGGCCAAACTCCCTCTTGGAAGTTCTAGGAGAGAATCATTTATTCGCCCTTCCCAGCTTCTAGAGGCTGCTTGCATTCCTTGCTAGAGCCGTTTCCTCCATCTTCAAACCATGGCTCCAACTATGTTTCCAAGGCCACCTCTTCTCTCTCAACTTCCCCTGATAAGGACTATTGTGATTATACCAGGGCCACCCAGACAGCTGGGGAGAACGTCCCCATCTCAGGATCTTCAATTTAAATCTATCTGTAAAGACTCTTTTGCCATAGAAGGTAACACATTCCTAGGTTTCAGGGATTAGGATATGGACATAGGGGAAGGGGATGGTGTGTAGACATTATTCAGCCAGTGAGTGCATCTGGCCATTGGGAACATTCCATCCCCTGGTCATCGTGACTGACTCTAATTGAACCATGACCCAAACCAGTCCAGTGAGAGCTGCCTCAAGGGCTTTTGCTGAAACTCTATAGTAAGAAGTAAATGGGTAGGGTACAAGCCGGATGCTGCTGTAGGACCAAACCTTAATTATTGCTTGGGAAGTTTGCCTGACATTGAAGACAACATAAAAGAGAGTAGAGCCATGGCCCGTAGACATGGTTACATGCATGAGCACATGTGTGCACACACAGGCACACACATGCACGCACACACACGCACATGCACGTGCACGCATGTGCACACACACACACATGCTATTCTGATGACAATGTCTAAATATCTGAATCCAGCCCTGCCTGAAACTCACAGCCCTTCAGAATTTTGGGCCACATGAGCCAGAGTATTTTCCTTGTATCTTACGTCCATTTGAGTTGAGTTTCTGACATTTGCAACAGAAAGAGACCTTACAAACACATACCTATGATTC